CTCTCTATATATATATTAGAGGCCTGATGCATGAAAATTCGTGCAAGGGTAGGCCTTCCTTCCCCTGGCTGCCGGCACCGGCTTCCCTCCTCTGGCTGCCCGCAGGCACCCGGGACCCAGGCTGGCTTCCCTCGGGGCCACCTGCAGGCTCCCGGACCCGGGCTAGCTTCCCTCTGGCCCCAGCTTTGTCAGGAAGGATGTCTGGAAGACCTCTGGTCTCATTAGCATATTACCCTTTTATTGTTATAGATAATTTCCTACCTTATTATCTCTATCTGTACCATTGTTACTTCAAAATATAAAAGTGCCTCCTCTTTTCTCTTTAGTTTGCCCTGTGTAAAGAAACACAAAGCAGAACTGACATGTAATGGAGTTCGAGATAAAACTGCCTATGTTTCATTACAACAGTTTACTGAAATGGATCTCCTAAGTGGTAAGCCATCTTATGCGTAGCAGATTGATGCTTCCTGGCCATTGCTATATGCCGTTTGTTTATTTTTCTGTTTTGAAATTTTTAGATTATCGATTTTTGGAAGATGTGGCAAGAACAGCAGACCATATTTCCAGAGATGCTTTATTGAAAAGATCATTAAGCAATAAACATGTAAGTATTTCTTCTAATCTTTTCCAGTTAGAATTCCTTTTAATTAATTAGATTCATTTTTTTCACTCAACAAAATGTATTAGGTGGCCACTATGGTCTGAAGTCTATTCCAGTTACTAGGGATACAGCACTGACCAAAACAAAGGCCTTCACCTCATGGAACTTGTATTGTAAGGGGAGACACAAGTTGAGTAGAAAAAAATATTTAATTTCAGGTGGAATTAAGTGCATGTGGAAAATAAAGAAGGCACAGGAGGTTAAAGAAAATGAGAATACTGTTTGTTGGGAAGAGGTTGTGAGGGTACTATTTTTGAAACAGGGGTCAGGAGAAGCTGCTTTTAGAGATGACATTTAAGCGGTGATCTGAATGATGAGAAAGAGGCAGTCTTGTGAACATTTGAAGGAAGACTATACCAGGTAGAGACAAAAGTAAAGATAGTCAGGAACAAGGCTGGTGTGTTTGAAGAATTGAAATAAGGGCAAAGCGACTGAAGTGAGAATGTTGAATTTTCGTTCTAGTTTATTCTGAGTGAAGCTAGAAGGCATAGGAAGGTTCTGAGAGTGTTTGCTTTTAGAAAGATCACTCTTACTGCTGTCTGGAAAATGGACTTTAGCTGGTAAGAGTGGGAGATTGGAAGCAGCGAGACCAGTTTAAAGGCAGTTGCTTCAGATACGGGATGATAATGCTATGCTATTAGAATTATTAGGAAGCAATTAGATTATGGATTTAAAGGAATAGCTAATAGGACTTGCTATTTCAATACACATAATTTTCATACTCTTTCATTCCTTTTTTTAAATCCTCATCCGAGGATTTATGGATTTTAGATAGAGGGAGGAAGAGAGAGAAAATGAGAAACATCGATTTGTTGCCTCATATGTGCCCCAACTAAGGACCAAACCCAAAACCTAGGTATGTGTCCTGACTGGGAATCCAACCTAAGACCTGTTGGTGTATGGGATGATGCTCTAACCAGCTGAGCGCACCAGCCAGGGTTCATCCTTTTTTCATTCATTGAGCACTATTCAAAATTAAAGCTTACATGTTTGAAATATTTTGCAACTGCTATTGTTCCAGAAATTCTTTAATGATATTAAATCATGTCATGGAATTATGCTCATTTTTTCAGACACTATTTTAATATTGAAGTTGCAGAATTTTAATACCTTTTAAACACGTTTTATTGGTGTTTTTAGTACAGACATGACATTACATGTATCTGAAAGAAAGATTATCGTGCATCAACTTTTTTCCTTAAGCTTAATTAGAGTTCTACTTAAAAGATAAATTACTCTTTAATTTTTTTCTTTTTATTGTGAAGTATGGCATGCACATAAAAAAGCATAAACGAAATACACTGTTTAATGACTAATTATAAAGTTAACATCCATCTAATTACCATTCAAGTCTAAAATTAGAACATTCACCTGCTTCTCAAAAGTTCCCTGCTCCCCCTTGTGCCCTTCTCTAATCCATTGTTATTTCTGAATAGTTTTCTAGTTTAAGACTGTACCACAATTTATCCATTCTTTTTTTGGTAGACTTTGAGTTTTCTGTAATGACAAAAGACAAAAATTAGAAACAATGCTACTATGAACAATTTGTTTGTGAATTGTAGTTTGCATGTGCACATGTTTTTCTGGGGTTTATATCTGGGAGTGGAATTGCTTTGTTGTGGGGTGTACATTTCTTCAGTTTGACTAGGTGTTACCAAAACATTTTCCAAAGTGGTTATACCAGCTCCCAGTAGAGTGTAAATGTCCCTATTGTCACATCCTGTCCAATATTTGATGTGCTCAAAGTTTAAAAATTTTGTCGCCCAGCTGGTGTGGCTAAGTGGTTGAGTGTCGACCTGTGACAGGAGATCAGGGTTTGATTCCAGTCAGAACACATACTTGGGTTGCGGGCTCGATCCTCAGTCTGGGGTGTGCAGAAAGCAGCCGATCAATGATTCTCATCATTGATGTTTCTATCTCTTTCTCCCTCTCTCTTCCTCTCCAAAATCAATAAAAATGTATTTTTAAAAAAATTTGTCCATTAGATGGCTGCATAATCTTATTGTGGTTTTTAATTTGCAGTTCTCTGATTCCTAATGAGATTGAACACCTTTCAAATATTTCATTGGCCATTTGGATTTTCTCTTTTGTGGAATGCCTGTTTAAGGCTTTTGCTCATCTTTTCGTTGATCAGCTTTCTTCTTACTGGTTTTTAGGAATTCTTTGTATTTCTTGGATGCTGGTATTTCTTGGATGCTTGGTTGTCTGTGCTATAAATATATTATTCCATACTTTGGTTTTTGGGTTTTTTTCACTCTATAGTGTCTTGTGGTGAATAAATGTTGTTGATGTTAATGTAGTCAAATTGATCATGTTTCGTTCACAGTTAGTTTTATGTGTTTATAAAAGAAATGCTTACCTACCTGGAAGTTATAAGTTGTTCTCCCATAGTTATTTTCTAAAAGCTTTTAGTGTTGCATCTCACATTTATATCTGTACACTACCTGGAATTAATTTTTATGTAACATGGGGAGTGGAGGTCCCATTTAATTTTCCATATGGATAATCCACTTTTTCTAGCACCATTTATTGAAGAGTTCATCTTTTCATTATTGCTCTGCAAGACCATATTTGTCATATATCAAGCATCCATATTTGCTTGGGTCAGTTTCTGGCTGTCTGTTCCACTTGTCTATCCACACCAATTATTGTAACAGTGTGTGTTTTTTGTTGTTGTAATTTTTTGTTTATTTGTTTTTATTGAAACTTGCTATCTGATAGAGTAACTCCTCCCTCTTTGTTCATTTTCTAGAGTATTGCTGTATTCTTTGTAATTCTCTATAAATTGGAAAAATTAGCCTGTTGGTTCTATAGTTCTTTCTGCCCCAACCTGAGCATTTTGATTGGGGTTCCATTTATTTTATAGACTAACTTAAGTGATGAGACATCTTTTTAACATTGAATCTTTAAACCCTTGGTTGTGTTGTATCTCTGCATTTATTTGTGCCTTCTTTAATATCTCTCTAATTTTCTCAGTAGGGGTCTTGCACATTTCTTGTTAGATTTATTCTTGGGCACAACTTTTTCATGCTAATTTAAATAGCATTTTAATTTTATTATCTCTTTGCTGGTACTTATGAATGATTTTTTGTTATTGTTTATTTTATAGTGAGCAATCATATTATAATCTATCCCAGTACCTTATCTATAAATTCTTTAGGGTTTTTTTTCTGTAAATAATTCATCACAATTTCTTTTTATCCTTAATATTTTGATCTCTGTCTCTCTCACTCTCCCTCCCTCCCTACCTTCTCTCTCTCCCTCCCTTTCCTTTTCTCTCTCTCTCTCTCCTTATTGAAAAAGCTAGGACTTCCAATTCAATGTCAGATACTAGTGACAACAGGAGATATTTATGTTGCAAGTCCCAAGTTTACCCTTAGCTTGATAGAAGGATTTTGCTAGAAGGATTCACAGGACTCCACATATAGTTGTACTCATGGCTATATTAGTACAGTGAAAGGGTACAGAGTAAAATCAGCAAAATGTAAAAGCATTTGAGGTAGTCTGGAGTAATTCAAATACAAGCGTCCAAGAATCCTCTGCCATTGGAGTCACACAGTACATAGTTAATTCCTTTGGCAGTGAGCTGTGATAACACATGTGAAGTATTGTCTACCAGGGAACACCATTAGAGACTCACTGTGCAAGGTTTTTATTGGGAGCTGGTTGCAGAAGCACCCTCTGCCCAGCTTGTACCAAATCCCAGACTCCCAGAAGGAAAGCAAATAATCCACATTGTTTATACAAACAATTTGGGCACAGTGAACCATTTTTATCATTTAGAAAAGTTTTATATCAGTTTAGGGAACCATCTATAATAATAAAAGCGTAATATGCAAATCGACTGAACAGTAGAATGACCATCTGGATGAATTTCTGGACGACCATGCTATGACATGCACTGTTGCCAGGCCAGCCAAGGCGGGTGCGATGCGATTGGTCGGGGGTCCCTGCCATCGCCCCACAATCGCCCCGCAGAGGGAGGCCCAGGTTACCCGGCTGGTGGCACTGCGGTGGGTGGCAGGGCCTCCCTCTGCGGAGCCATTGATCTCGGAGCCCCATGATCGATCACCCTGCAGAGGGAGGCCCAGGCAACCTGGCCCACGGCCACAGAGGGAGGCCCGGCTGGCAGCGCTGTGGCGGGTGTGCAGGGCCTCCTTCTGTGGGGCGATCGATCTGGGGGCCCCGCGATTGATCACCCCACAGAGGGAGGCCCAGGCCACAGGACAGCGACACTGGGGTGGGTGTGCGGGGCCGACCAGCGATCGCCCCGCAGTGGGAGGCCCAGGCCAGCCAAGCAATCACACCCTACGCCTGTTGCCCACAGAGGGAGGTGACGGGGGGGGGGGGGGGGGGGGCAGCACCACAGAGATGTCAAGCAGTGGCAGCGGCAGGGGCAGGGCCGGCAGCTGGGGGAAGGAAAGCCCCGATAGGCCCTGATTGCTGGGTAGGCCTAGAGACCCTACCCGAGGGGTCCCAGATTGCAAGAGGAAGCAGGCTGGGCTGAGGGACACCCCATCTCCCCCCACCTCCTTCACGAATTTCGTGCACCAGGCCTCTAGTTTACTAATAAGTCAAATTCCCAGACACCAGCCAAGGGTCAACCTTATAAGCAGAACCTTTTAAGGATTACAGTCTCAGGCCCACTATGTTAATTGTTCTGTACATGGTTGTTTTGTAACTCCTGACCATAAAGAAAAAACTTTCAAGATTTTAACATGATGTTTGCTTTTAAATTTTGTAGAATAATTTTATATTTACATTAAAGAATTCCTACTTTGCTAAAAGATTTTTTCATAAACCTTTAATTGGTTTTCTATTTTAAGCTAAACTTACAAGGAGTTATTATCTTAACAAAGCATGCTTTTATACTTTGCAGAATTCATTTGTCTTATATGTGTGTGTACACATTATTCATTCATTAATTTTGTATTTCTGTTCATGAGTAAGATTGACCTCTAATTTTCCATTTTAGTATTTCCTTAGGTTTCCATATCTATATGATTCTAGTTTCATAAAATTATTTGGGAATGTTTTCATTTTGATTTTTGATTCATTGGATTATTGGACTTAATTACTAGAATTATTTTTTTCTTGGGAATTTGGTAAAATTTATTAATGAACTAATATGTGCTTAGAGTTTGAGCCAGTGAGGTATGTTCTTTATTATTTATGGGACTGGTCAGGTTTTCTCTCTTTTTGAGTCATTGTTAATGTATTACATTTTTCTAAGAATTTGTCCATTTAAGATGTGTGTTTATGACCCAGCATGTGGATATGTTTTATAATGTTCTGTTTGCTTGAAAAATAAAAAGTATTCTGCAATTGCTGAATATATAGTCTACATATTTCTTTTAGGTTAGATTTATTAGTTATATTGTTCAAATTGTTTATAACGATACAGATTTTTTTTAATCAGTTCCAGAGAGAGGTAGGTTAACATTTCCCAATAGATAAAATCAAAAGGATTTGTTTGTTTCCCCTTATGGTCAGTTAGTACTTGAAGGCTAAATTATTAGATGTATATCTCAGGAAACAGTCCTTTGCTTGGATTGCATAGTGTGATTATTTTCCCCTTACTTTTACTATAGTATCCTTATGTTCTGGTTATGTCTTTTCTAAGTACCATGGTTTTCTATAGTTTGACAACTGTAACTTTTAACTGAATCACTAAGTTCATTTACATTTTGATAAAATTGCCTATATATTTTTTAAAATATTTCTTATTTTTTAATTCCAGGTGACAGTCAATATTATATTAGTTTCAGATGTACAGCATAGTGGTTAGACTTTTATATAATTTATGAAGTGATCCCCCTGATAAGTCTAGCACCCCCCGACAACATAGTTATAGACTTATTACAATGTTTTTTTTTATATTTCCTATGCTGTACTTTACCTCCCATGACCATTTTGTAACTGCCAATTTGTACTTAATCCCTTCACCTTTATCACCCAGCTCCCCAACACCCCCTCCCACCTCGCAACCAACAGTTTGTTCTCTGTATCTGTAAGTTTGTTTCTGTTTTTTTGTTTGTTTATTTTGTTTTTCAGATTACACATATGTTTGAAATCATATGGTATTTGTCTTTCTCTAACTTATATAACTTAGCATAATACCCTCTAGGTCCACCCAAGTTGTCATAAATGGCAAGATTTCACTCTTTTATGGCTGAGTAATATTTCGTTGTATATATGCACCACAGCTTCTTTACCAGTTGTCAATTGATGGACACTTAGGTTGCTTCCATATCTTGGTTATTATAAATGTTGCAGTGAATATAGGGATGTATTTGTCTTTTCAAATTAGTGTTTTGGCTTTCTTTGGTTAAATACCCAGAAGTGGCATTGCTGGGCCCTTCTTGGTCCCTTGTTATATATGGCCTTTGTTTTAAAGTCTATTTTGTCTTATAGACTTTTTCTTTGTTTCTTTTTCTTTTTTTCTTTGTTTCCATTTGCATGAGATATTATTTTCCATTCCTTTACTTTCAGTTTTTGTGTCTTTTGATCTGAAGTGGGTCTCTAAAGGCAGCATATGTATAGTTTTTTTTTTCTTATCCATTCAGCCACCTCATGTCTTTTGATTAAAGCATGTAACCATTTACATTTAAAGTTAATTATTGATAGGAATATATTACCATCATTTTATTACTCATTTTTTAAAATCTTTTTCTTCTTAAAGAAGTCCCTTTAAAATTTGTTTTGTTGTATGGTTTCGTGGTGATGAACTCATTTAGTTTTTTTTTTCTTTTAATCTGGGAAGCTCTTTATCTCTTTCCATTTTAAATTATTACTTTGCTGGGTAGAGTAATATTGGTTGTAAATCCTTGCTTTTCGTTACTTTGAATATTTTGTGCCAGTGTCTTTTGGCCTGCAAAGTTTCTGTTGAGAAATCAGCTGACAGTCTTACGGGAGCTCCCTTTTAGGTAACTAATTGCTTTTCTCTTGCTGCCTTTAAGATTTTTTTTTTTCCTTTAGCCTTTTGGATTTTAATTATGATGTTTCTTGGTGTGGGCCTCTTTAATTTTGTCTTGTTTGGGACTGTCTGCACTTCCTGGACTTATATGTCTATTTCCTTGCCAAGATAGAGAAGTTTTCATCCATTATTTCATCTAATAGGTTTTTAATCCCTTGCTCTCTCTTTTCCTTCTGATATGTCTATGATGTGAATGTTGTTACCCTTGATGTTATCCCACAGGTCCATTAAACTATCCTCATTAAAAAAATTTTTTTTGGTGTACCTATTGAGTGTTTCCCACTACCTTGTTTACCAAATCACTTTATCTAATCAGGTGAGGATTAACAACAAAAAATCAGTAAAAGAGAAAGAACTATATAGGTAACACCTATGATTGTCAAATGTCTTTTTTTTGGTTTTTTAATCCTTCTCTTGGCTTATAGAGTGTATGGGTAAAAGCACAGGCTCTGGAATTACGCAGACCTGGGTTTGAATACAGGCTCTCTCAGAAATAGTTGTATAGCCCTAGCCAGTTTCGTTCCGTGGCTACAGCGTCGGCCTGTGGACCAAAGGGTCCTGAGTTTGATTCCAATCAAGGGCACATACCATGGTTGCAGGCTCCTCCTTGCCCCAGACCCTGGTCAGACATGTGCAGGAGGCAACCAATGGATGTGTTTCTCTCACATCTGCTATTTCTCTCTGTCTTTCCCTCTCTCTTCCACTCTAAAAAATCAATGGAAAAATGTCCTTGGATGAGAATTAAAAAAATAAAATGTGGTGTTTTTTTTTGTGTGTTTTTTTTTTTAAATATATTTTATTGATTTTTTACAGAGAGGAAGGGAGAGAGATAGATAGTCAGAAGCATCGATGGGAGAGAAACATCGATCAGCTGCCTCCTGCACATCTCCCACTGGGGATGTGCCCGCAACCCAGGTACATGCCCTTGACCGCAATAGAACCTGGGACCTTTCAGTCCGCAGGCCGACGCTCTATCCACCGAGCCAAACCGGTTTCGGCAAAATGTGGTTTTTTTAAAAAAAGTTGTATAATGTTGGCATCTTATGAATTCTCACTGCTAAAATGGGGGTAATGGTAGTACCTACCTCATAGTATTGTGAGTATTAAACAACAATATTGCTTAGCAGTTGGTAAAATATAAGCATTCAATAAATCTTAACTAACATATTTTAAACGTTATTTTATTCACTTTTGAAATTTAAGGAATTTTAAAATTAATTTGTCTTCATTTGTTGTTGTTAGATGTGCTTTATAAAAAATCGTGCTCGAAGGCAAGGTATCAACTTAAAACTTCTACCCAATGGGTTCACCAAGAGGAAAGAAAATTCAACATTTTTCGATAAGAAGTAAGTTTCTAACTTCTTCCTTAGTCTATCTGGTGTTCTGATTTTATCAGGAACATTTTTTAAGGTTTAGTTTGATATAGAGATACCAGTAGTGTGGTCTTTGAGCTGTTTGTTATTGGTCTATGAAAAGATGACTATACAAATTGAAAATAAGCATTTAGAAACTTAAGATTTCATTTGAGAGCCAGTGATGAGAAAGAAAAAGACTTGGGAAACTTTTACTCTGCAGTGAATGTGAATACAGGTAATACAACAGAGATTAGTTTGCTGCTTTCTGAAAGTGCTAGATCAAAAAGGCCCCAATAGACAGAGTACTGTAAGGATTTCAGGATATTATAATTAGCCCACTAAATTATTGGGTAATACCTTTCAAAAGTCAAGATTCTGGATTTAGAGTAAAAACAAAAAAAACTGAGTCCCTTCTTCAGTCTCTTAGTATGTGTAAGAACTTGTACAAATTACTTCCTTTTTCTAGGCCTCATCTGTAAGATGTGGGGGTTGTACTAAGTAAAATCTAAGATTCCTTCCAATTTTACTACTCCATAAATTTAAAAGACAGACCATCAGATTATTATTTAAACCTTCTACCTTTTCAACATGTTTTATTTTTTTTTGTATGTTTCAAGTCATAAATATTTGTAAAGGTGGTTTTCCTTTTTCCTGGTTGGCTTCCAGAAGTAAAGTAATGCCTTCTATTTATTAAATGTGAGATGATTCCTTTGTACATTTTGAAACTAAAATGTCTGGAAATTGACATAATTTGTTTGCAATTTAAGGTGACTGGTTTGTGCATTCACAAAAATAAAGGCACACACTTTTTATTTTTCTCTAGCTAGTCTTTTTCCTTTTGTAAATATAGTATAGACTGCTTTTCTTGTTAATGCAAATCTGCCTCATTATTTTTAAGTTGTCTGTTCCAACTATGACTACTGTATAATAATTTAATTATTCCCATATTTATGCACATTTAGCTTATTTCTAGTTTGTAATTGTTATAAATAATGTTGTAATAAATATCATTGAATAGATTATTTTCGGTGCTTATGTGACTTTTTCTGTAGGATTAGTTCCTAGAAAGCAGAATTACTAGGTCAGAGACTACATGGGTTTAAACTTTTTAGAGAAACTCCAAGTTGTTTTCCCTAAAAATGTACCACTTTGTACCTTCATCAAAAATAGTATCAGAGTACATATCTTAGTTGTATTGTACTTTAATTGAATATTTAAACTTTTTTGTCTATCTGATCATTAGAGAGGCTGATCTCTTAAATTTTTATTTCTTTTCAGATGTGCCTATTTATATCTCCTCTTGCTCTGTTACATACATTTGAACATTTTTATCAGTCTGTTTATCCTTTAATTTTGCCTTCCGTTTTTGATACATGTTAAATAATTGTAAAAAAAAAAAAAAAAAAAAGTCTGTAAAACACAGAGATAGTAAAATTGGAGTGGTTAAGAGCACAAACTAGACCAGTCTGCCTGAGTTCAAATTTCTCTCATCAGCCTTTCCTAGCTATGGGTCTTAAGTTAATGCACCTAGTTGCCTTGTGCCTCAATTTCCTCATCTATAAAGTGGGGCTAGCAGTAAGTTAGGGTTAAACCAGTTTTTATTTCCGTTGGTAATACTATATGAGAATATCTGTGTAAATATCTTTCTAGTACTGAGTTACTGAGTTGTCTCTTTTTAAAAACACTTTTACCACCTGGCCAGTTTGGCTCAGTGGTTGAAGCGTTGGATCCCAGGCCTGGTTGGGGTGTGTGTGGGAGGCAACCAGTGTTTCTCTCTCTCTCTCTCTCTCTCTCTCTCTCTCTCTCTCTCTCTCTCTCCCTCTCTCCCTTCCTTCTTCCTCCCTCCCTTCCACACTCTCTCTTAAAAATCAATGGGAAAAATATCCTCAAGTGAGTATTAAAAACAAATTTTTTTTTTTACCCATTTTAAAGGTTAAAATAATATTTTGTTTTAATTTCATTTCATTTAATTGCTACTGAGATATGGAATATTTGTTCACAAGTTTCAGAGTGATATCTTAAAATTTAATTGTAACAGACTTTAATGCAGCCTGCTAAGTTAAGATGATCTATCATTTGTAAAATCATTTTGGGAGTCAGTTCAGTGGGGAAAAAAAATTTTAATCTCTGTGACCGAATTTTTCCATTTGTTCATTGTTAAATGACCTGTTATATTTTTAAATGAAAATGGTTTTTCTACTAACTGAATTTTAAAATGTCTGACTTCAGATGTTGGATGAATAATAAAGTATTAACAGGAGTTCCCAGCTTAAAGAATATTTACTACTCATTAATCATCTTGGTAATCTCTTTAATCTCAATATTTTGTTCATTCTTGTTCAGCATTTTCATCAGTGATACAAATCTTGGCACTGTTGATGTTTTGAGCCAGAGAATTCTTTATTGTGGAAGGGCTGTCTTCTGCATTTTGGGATGTTTAGCAGTATCCCTGGCCTCTACCTAGATGTTGGTAGCAAAAACCCACAAACACACACACACACATACACACACACACACGCCCTTTGTTGTGACAACAAAAAACATCTCCAAACATTGCCAGGTGTCCCCTGAGGTGGGGGCACAGAAGAGGGGCAAAATCACCCTTATTTGAGAAGCATTGATTTAGATGAATACAGAAGACATACTTACTGAACTTAAAGCATGGCAAAATCAGGATTATAGAACATTTTGATTGCTAAAAGGTGGTATTTAAGTAACAAGATAAATAATGAAAGTCCTATCCTTTAAGGGTAGAGGGAAAAAACCCCACTTAGAAGTACCTTCTTTGGGATACCTGTGTTTTCTCAGCTATACATATGAAAATGACCAAGGTTATAGATGATGATAATGTTATTTGTTGGAAGGAGTGAAGCAACAAATACTAAATTTCTTAAAATAATTTTTTCACCTCTGTTCTCTCTTGTGTTTTGAAGAAACTCATTTTCAATGTTTTCTTCAACTTTCAAAAGTGGTTAAGGCTTTGGCTCAGATAAACCTGTATTTAAATATTGCCTCTACTATTTGGCACATTAGGTGATCTTGCGTAAGATTAAATTTACTGGGTTTTTGAGTGGATTGAATGAAATAATACTGTAGTACCTGATACTTAGTAAATAATATACAGTGACAATTAAAGGTCTATATTTCCTTATCTGAAATCCTGGGGATATAGTTTACTGTATTACATCCTATGTAATAATAGACAAACATGGTAATTGATCGTACCTTTGCTACGCCTCCCATTGGCTAATCAGCGCGATATGCAATTTAACCGCCAACAAAGATGGCGGCTAATTTGCATACTGCAGGCAGGGTGGGACAGCGCCACCCCGCCTGCCCCGCCGCCATCCAGGCCTGCTATTTGCCACCCGGGGCGGTGGGGCGGGACAGCGCCATCCCGCCTGCCCTGCCACCATCAGGGCCTGCTATCTTCGACCAGGGGCGGCGGGCGTCCCGTGTGCAACCTGACCCGGGGCGGGCGGGCAGTGCAGCAGCAATCGGCCGGCCCGCCCGGGCACCCCGTGTTCGACCCAGCCGGGGAGGCCGGGCGGGGCAGTGAAGGCTTGAAGGCGGCTCCAGCCGGAGCTGCGAAGGCCTGGGTCCCAGGTGCCAGAGGAAAACCAGTGCCGGCAGCCAGGGGAAGGGAAAGCCTATTGCACAAATCTTTTCGTGCAACAGGCCTCTAGTTTACTATATAATATTCACTCCTAGGAGGTTTACAGCAGCATTGCATAATCAGACAGTACTATTTCTGCAGTGAAACCTGCAACTGTTCATATTATAATGGGTAAATAATAACTAAATGGACTCAGCCAGGTTTTACTACACAAGTAGTTAAGAAAAAACTTTGAGCTTGGCTAGTGTGGTTCAGCGGTTGAGCGTCAACCCGGGAACCAGGACGTCACCAGTTCGATTCTTGGTCAGGGCACATGCCCAGATTGCGGGCTCGATCCCAGTGGGGCATGCAAGAGGCAGCTGATCAATGATGTTCCTCTCTCATTGATGTTTCTATCTCTCTATTCCGCTCCCTTCCTCTCTCTGTAAAAATCAATTTAAAAAATATTTTTAAAAGGAAGAAAAGGAAGGGAGGGAGGGAGGAAAAGAAAGAAAAGGAAGGGAAGGGAAGGAGAAGGAAAGGCGGAGGGAAAGGAGGGGAAAGGAAACTTTTGAGTTTCTGAGATTTGGGATTGTGGAATTGTTGATATCAGATTTGGTACTACTCTAAGATTATTATTATTATTCCCTAGGTATTAACTTGGTCCTTAGTTTGTTTCAGCAGCTTGAACTATAATATAGTCAAAAACTCATATTTAACTTCTTTAAAATCAAATATTCAAATAGTAACTTTTGAACAGTGTGGGTGAAGATTTCTTTGGGTAGCTTTCTATAAAGTCTGAAATTATTTCAAAAGAAAAATGGTTTTAAAAATATTTAAATACCCCTATATTAAGTGTGACTAATTACCTCTGTAGAACTGTCAGCAAGTTATGTAGCAGCAAACACAATAGGTACCTTAGAAACATAGGTTCATTCTAACTCGGGTGTTTATGACCAGTATCACTCTGAATTTCCTAAAGTCACATAAAAAATTATGTGACGTGAATTTTTTTTAAGAATAGGAACTGTAATTTTCATTTTGTAGTCAAAGTGGGATGTAATACTAATCAGTCTGTGAGGTAAAAAATGTAGTATTTAATAGCAATGAATTTTAGAAGACTGATGAATTTGTAGGAGCACCAGAATGGGTAACTTTCACAAACAACAAAAAGTTAAGGGATATTTATGTTAAGAATAATTGAGCCTAGTTTGTGTAGCTCAGTGGGACGGTCACCCATTTAATTCCTGGTCAGGGCACATGTTCGGGTTTCGGGCTCAGTCTTTAGTAGGGGGAGTGCAGGAGGCAGCCAATGGATGTTTCTATCTCTCTCTTCCTCTATCTGATATCTAAAAAAAAGAAAGAAGAATTGAGCCAAAGCAGGACTGACATTCTC